CGAGCTTCCCTAGCCAGTCTATCAGGTACAGAGCAGTATGCCTTGGAGATCTCTAACCACTCATGAAGACAGATGCCAGCAGAAGACCTCTCCATAACTTTTTCTAACTTAACAAGTTTTGTCTTTTTTTTGATACACTTTGAGAACACTCTCATTCGGCACACTGGTTATAGAAGCCCTTATAAATATAAAAGTTGGTGAAGAGGCCCGGAGCAAAGCTGAATTCTGGTTTTGCATCTTAGACACAGGAAGAACAATGCTGCTTTCCTTCTAATTATCTCTGCTATGTTTAAAATATTGCTAAAAACATGAGAGGAGACAATCTAATTGGCTGCTTTAAGAGACTGAAATTAGGTGGGATAGCAGTAGGTATGGAGGAGTGAGAGGCTTTCTTACAGTTTAGTAGCAAATAAAACTGACATTTCAAATGTCATCTGAAGTCCTCCTGTCGTCCTTGGACTTGGGACTAGGATCACCGAGAAAGGTAAAAGAAATACTGTAGTTCCTGCCCTGGCCACAGGGATATGCTGCTATCCTGGCCACTGAAACGATGGCTTGGTGCTTTGACAGCCAGGCACTGATAATCTCTGCTGTTTCCCTTATCTGGTTTCCAGACCTAATGAGGAGACAACAGCATGTTCAGACTAGCCAGACATGCTTATGCAGGATGGAAGATGGCATCTAAGACAAACAACCAAAGAAAATAAAAACACAAGCCAAGCCAACCAAACAAAACGAAAAAGAAAATTATGTGAGCACTTAGAAAGGAGACAAGTTAAAAAGGAAATCCAAAGAGGGAAGAAAATGGAGGAAGAAGACAAATGGATGCAAAGAACAAAAAGGAGTAACAGTGTCAAGAATAAACCATGACAAAATGGATGAGGAAGAGCAAAAGAATCAACAGGAATTTGGAACAAGGATTTCACAATGGAGTAGGAAGTAAGAAAGCCTGAGGATGAAAGAAGTGGAGTGAAATGGTCTTTAGGGCTTCAGCTTCCCCTTATTTTTGGCTATGTGTCTTGTATCTTCCAGTAAAAATCAGAGTTCACTGATTTCTTTGAAACCTGTCTCCTTACTTCTGAAGTAAGTGAATAAAAATCAGTGTAATGAATAATGTTTTTTTAATATTCACAGGGAACTAAATGTCATGAATGGATGTCCCAAGCCACCTTCCCACTTTTCTAATACGCTTAGAATCATAGAATCCTTTAGGTTGGAAGAGACCTCCAAGATCATCAAGTCCAACCATCAAGACAACACTACTAAATCTTCTGCTAAAACAGATCAGAATCTGTCAGGGTTGGAAGGGACCACAAGGATCACCCAGTTCCAACCCCTCTGCCATGAGCAGGGACACCTCCCACTAGATCAGGCTGCCCAGAGCCTCATCCAGCCTGGCCTTAAAGACCCCCAGGGATGGGGCCTCAACCCCCTCCCTGGGCAACCCATTCCAGGGTCTCACCACTCTCATGGGGAAGAACTTCTTCCTCACATCCAGCCTGAATCTGCCCACTTCCAGCTTTGCTCCATTTCCCCTAGTACTTGTGGTTGTGTGGCTCACGCCTGAACATCAGGATTTGTTGGTGTGAATCCTAAGTGACAGGGGCAACCTGGACTTTGCATAGGCAGAAGATGTAAGGTTCAACTGCAAGCGTTTCTTCGGAAGCTTCGCCCTCAGGCATTTTGAAAGAGGTTCACCCTATCTGCTTTCTCTGTGGGAAATCCACACAGGAAAGTATTTTCTGCATGAGTGCTCCATATCCAGGAAGCACACTGCTGTGAGCGTGCACACAAAATGCTGTAGGCCTTCATGTACCATAAATACTATGAATAAATCATGAATATCATCAAAAGTCCATTTAAACAGACTTGTCCGGTTTTTGTAGGACACAAACTGTTTAGTCCATTTTTCTTGATCCTGAAGCAATTCTGCTTACTGTTGTGCTATAGATGGAATTTTGTGCTATAGATGGAATTTGACTGGAATACTTCATCATTTCCAGTGATGATCTTAAAGGATAGTACACCAGAAGTCTGTCATTCTGCCTGGTAGGGAGTGAGAACGTCGGAGCAGAAGCTTCTCCTCTGGGACAGGGCAAGGCACACAGTTATTAGCAAGACACATTCAGAGGACCAACCTATAGAAAAAGAAAGCACTGAATAGACAGTTACAAATTAGACTCACATCAAACATGGCAAGCTCCCACAATGGGCTGTTTAAGGCACAGAAGTGCTGCTTGCTTTCTCCTTCATCTGTCTCTACAGCTCTTGGTGCAGCATCTCACAGTCCATCCGTGCCATGGGCAGTCCTATCACACCTGCCGACAGGCCCAGTGGAACACAGTCTTCTCATCAGCCACACAAATACAGCCCTTCCTGGACTTGCTTTAACAGTGATGATAAAGAATCCCTCACCTCTTCTTTTGCCTCCTTCCTCCCTTTTCCACTACCCTCTTCTCCCCAAGAAGGGCAGCCAGCCATTGATGCCAGAGGTAAACAAGCAACAAACCTACCACACTTGTTAGAAACAGAAAGAACTCCCTCAGACACATGAGGGAACCAGAAGGAAAAGAGATGTGAGGTCAATGAGGAGAGTAATTATTTCACTGGAATGTTTCAGTGTTGATAAGAAGCTGCAATGTCCATGCTAGCAAGGAGCCAGGAACAACTTCTACTCTAAGTGCCGAAATTAAATTATCTTACACACCTGGCAAAGTTAGCAGTCATGTCAGTGCTATCTTACACAGCCCAAAATATCAAACAGAGGCTAAACAGTTGAAAAAACAAAAACAACAACAAAAAAACCTGACAGCCAGAAAATTTTTGTTGTGACAATTTTCTGTGACCAGAAACTTTTTTTCTGTGACAATCGAAAACTATGATTCTCTGAATTTAATATTTAAAAAAAACAAATTTTTTTTAAGTTCTAGTTTGAGAAGTCCAACAAAAAAAGTCACTTTTTCTCCTCCAAAATGTCAAGTTATTTTTTTTTCTGATGAAATTCGTATTCATGGTATTAGTACCTACAACACAGGAGCTTTCCATGAGTTTATCTTTTTACTGATTTTTTTCTATTCAGTTTCAACTGTCTACATCTTCCCCTTACAAAAATATGATACAGCTTGCCTTAACTCAGGTTTTGGTAGCAGAGATGGTAGTTCAGGTTCCTAGGGAGCTGAGTAACTCTTAAACTGAGTCCCCAAGCCCACCAACAATCCTGAACACAGGTATAAGAACAAAATTGGTAAGTGGTATCACAAATAAAAAGATAGATGGTAGAGCTTCCAAGGTGTTAATCCAGAAGACAAGTTCTCGCTAAGAAACTGTAGAACAAAAAGAGGAAAAAAAAAAAAAAAAGCATTGTATCTACAGCCACTGAAGCATTATTCAGAAAACCCACAAATCTCCTTCTTGGGCACACAATTCTGGAGACCCTGTGACTGTCAGGTGGTTGGTTTAGTGGAGAAGGAATCAATGATAAAGAGGACTGAGTTACGCACATCAGAGATTTGACCTTCACTAATGCCCTCTAAATGAGGCACACAACTGTAATTCACTGTATGATGCACACAAGCCAATAGGCTCTGTGCATACAATAAAACTGTCCAATTCTTCAATTTTGTGTTCACAAAGAGCTTGCGAGGATCAGTCTTTTTCAGCAGAGGAAAAAGAAATCTGCCATTTTTTCTGTACTCCTGAATAAATACCTTGAGGGAATACTTAGTCCCTTTGCCAAATCAAACAATACACAGTGTGCTATGAGCAGGGGGGTCCTTCAGCAAAAGGAGGAGAGAAAAGGCTTAAGCTGATTTTTATACTTTATTACTGTATGGTATAAAACATGAATCATTCTCAGCACTAAAATCTTATTTTGAAATTATATTTTAATTTACACAGCTATATTTGGAGCTATTCTTTCTCAGGAGGCTAAAACTGTTTCTTCCTCTCCTGGTAAAGTTCACTTTATCACTTTCTGCCTCTGTTTCTCCAGGTTGTTGTGTTTCTTCCATGTACTCCACAGTATTAGCAATGCTTGCTGTTGTTTGAAAAGGTTAACGCATCTTTTGGCTCTCAGATCATTCATGAAGGTACTAAACATACTTACCAGCACCGACCCTGCAGAACCCCATCAATTTTTTTCTAAAATTAGATGCAATGCTGTTAATATCACAGCTCTCTGACAACACTCTGCCATTTCCCGAGCTGAGATTTTTGTGCTACATGAGGTCTACTGGGGCTTGATTTTTTTTTGTGGGGCTTGGTTGGACGGAAGGGGGAAGGTCAGCGCTACTGTACTTTTTAAGATATTCAACAGAACTGCAAAACAATTTAAAAAAGCATCAGGCAACAGTTAACTAAGTAATTAATTGTCTGATGGAGAAGCTGAAATATATAGAAGAGTCAGGGCACTGACATAATAAACCAGATACAGTCAAAAAGAGGTAACAGGACCTACACCTGTAATCAGTCGAACTGCTAGTTTTGAACAAGTGACATTTCTAAAAGGTGTATCAAAAAAAAACCACAAACAACCAACCCAAAGCACAACACTTTAACAATTTGGAGACATCCTTGAAAATCAGCACAAATAAAAGAGGGGGTAAGGTCAATGCTGCAGGATGCTCAAGAAAAGTCAAACGTTTGTTTTCTGCGCTTACATTACTCAGCATTTGTAACTAAAAACAACCTTTGCCTGCTACAGCAACCAAAATAGTTTTCCAGCTGCTGCAAGGTTATCAGAATAAACGCTGTCCCTCTTTCCAATTTTCTCCATACACAGTAGGTGGAAAAGCAACTTCATTTAATTAAAAATTCTTTTTAAATGCTTGTGTACTGAAAACTCTACATCAAGAACAAAAGAGACAAACATCGCAAAAGCATTTGCAACTGAAAAAGTAAGGACACAGGAAATAATTTCAAGCATTTAAGGACATCATGAAGCAGCAGCAGCAACTTTAAAGCAGTAACAAAGACAAAGAGAAACACCAAAACACCATTACCTTGAATTCTTTTTCAATGTTGGCCAACTTGGCAAGTTCATTGCTGAGTTCTAGAGCAGTGAGTACTGGATCTTCACTGGAGAGAGACAGATAAGCCGGACTAGCCAATCCTTTGTAGGCATTTATTCTTGACCTGGAGTGACTGAAAGAATCATGCTTTTGCTTCTCTGTACAGTCATTACATTTGCAGAAATAATCATGAGGTCTTTCTATCCTCGCTCCTTTCATCAACAGCATGTGCACAACTTCGTATTTTTGGCAGTGGGCAGCTAAAATTATGGGAGTGATATCTGGAGAAAAGCGGGTACCGTCTTCATCATAGGAATAAAAATCATCATCCTGGAGCTCCTGTTCACAAGGGCTCAGAGTCAGTCGCTTATTTACCGAAAACCCAGGATGATTCAAAATTGCTTCCACTATCCTAATGTAGCCCTTGCTGATTGCGAGCAGCAGGGCGTCTCCGATCCCTGCCAAGTTCTCTTTTTTTAACAGAAGTTCCGTCACCTCCAAGTGTTCGTTCCCAACAGCAAGCTGCAGGGCGTTCTGGCCCATGTAGTCGACGCAGTTGACGTTGAGGGTTTTTGACTCCTCCAGCATCTTGCGCACCACGGGGATGTTCCCGTACTCCGCGGCGTCCAGGAAGCGCTCCTCTTCCGCGGTCAGGCTGGTGCCCCTGTTGTTGAACATGAACGCCGGGCCTCGGATGGCCTGACGCCTTCCCTTCTCCCTCATCATGGTCATACGTCTCAGGGATGGGCTTTCTTCAAGGTACCTGACGAGAAAACCAAAAGGTAACAGGATTTCACTGTGGTGGAATTTTATAGCTTCCATTTCTCCTGTGGCTGCAAAAATAAGGACTTATTTTGTTCCTTATCGTTTGCCCACCTACCATCAAGAACGAGTCCTTACTGTGATCTTTCTGCCTTCATGCTTGTCTGCAGTCAAAAGGCACCTACAGGTTCAATGCCACTGACCACTTCTGTTTTGTTTGCATGGTCAAGAATTTTTTTTAACCTTACGTAAGGTATCATCTCTACAGAAATCCCTCTTGACTCATTTCAGTATATATATAAAATAAAATCACACTTGCTATACTACTTTCAGTAGTAATTAATACTATCTCCCACAGGCATTCAAAGCTGACGGTTTAAGGCAGGCAATATTTATGCTTACCATATTGCAGTCCACATAAATGAAAGATGAAAACAGATTTCTTTCCTGATGCCTTGCCAGGCAATACACAGTGAAGCCTGATCTCATGTCTTCTGGTGCCATGACTAAAAACATTAACCAAACTGGAAGGATTGTACTCACAAGTCCATTCAGTCAACGGTAAGTCTCTGAAAACCAACAGTTCATATATGTTCAATAGACTTGATGGATGCTAGCAACCAAACTGCTCACAGATTGCAGACACTGGGCATGCTCCAGTGTAGACTGGGATCATCTCTCACTCCCACTGGGCTTCTCTAATACTGTAGGTTATGTTGGACCTATTTCTATTATACAGCTACTGTTCCAGGAACTGAAAGGAAGAAGCTATTTGACATGATTACATGAGTGTAATATATATACATGTTTTATACATATATATTTAAAAGCCATCATGCATTCCTCAAAAAGCTGCTGAATGAAAATGAAAATTGGGATGGCAGGCTGCACTGGAAAGAGGAAATAGGGTTGTAGGAAAGTAAGATTGTTCAGGAAAGGGAACTGAGAATCAGGGAGGCTGTGAACTCCCCTCAAAAACTGGTTGTGAAAGGAGAAAAAAGAAGGCAAACAGGAGGAAAAAAAAAAAAGAAAAAAAAAAAAAAAAAGGGGTGAGCAAGCTCATCCAGAAAACAGAAACTGGGATTCTGATCCAGTGAAGACACTGGCTGAGAGCAGTGAGGAGCAAACAGGACCGGGCTGAGCGGACAGACAGATCAAGATGCTGAGCTGGATCCAGCTAGGTCAGGCAACTAGGGAGGGGAGAGGAGGTGCAGAGAAGTGAGGCGAGGAGTTGTAAAGAAAATGGACCTAGGACAAGGGGTTGAGGAGCAGACACTACCTAGCTGGAGAAAGTAACAACCAGAAACAACTGCCTGGCAAAGTCGGAACCAACGGAAGAGGTGGGATCAGGCTCAAGTGGTCACAGCTGGGGGAAGAACAGAAGCACTCCTGCCTGCCAGAGCAGAGGCCTAAGGTCTGAAAAGGTACTTAGGATACCATAACCTCCCTCCACCGTTATCTGCAAATAAATGTGAAAACCATCAGCAACCTCCCTTTCCTTCCTAGCCCAGCTCAATATTAAGACATCTTCCAGCTGCTATCAGTTAATCCATTAGCTCAAGGGATGGAGATCACTTGAGCTGATTTGATGGGCACTGAGACACCAGTGCAGCTGATAAACAAGACATGAGTTAATGGAGAGTGTGCTTTGAATACATATAACACTATGCTACATCAAGACAAGCAGGCCTTACAAATTTCAAATTCAGTCCTTAAGTCCTTTGTGCCTCTGTTCCTCATCTATAGAAAAAAAACAGTTGGCTCCCACTTTACAGGAGCACTGTGAAAATTAATTTATTTACCTCAGCAAAAAACTCAGATAGAAGAATAAAAAGCCAGACAGAAGAAGCAAAGAGGAAATTAATCCTTCCACCCTCAGCGCAAGAGCCAGGTAATATGCACTAGGAGAGACGTGGGCTGAGGGCAAACCAAAATATTTAACAGCCCTTTTTAAGCAAAACTCACCCATCTGCGCAAGGAGAGAACCAAGGCAAAGACCTGGCAGCCACACACACCTTCAGGGCACACAAAGACTATGTTTTTACATCATGGAACCTGCATGGGCAGTTCAAACACAAAAAATCCTTATTGCCATATGTCCAAACCCACAGCCAAAGTGACAGCCTCTTAAATGCAGGTGTTTTTTTTGTTTGTGTCAACAATGAGCTTTGCTGCATCACCACTGCACAAAACACACCTGTTGGGATCACTGGATTCCCACATACGCAGCAACGTCAGCCCTGACGGGACCATAATGGTTTTCACTGGGCTGAACCAAGTCCATCCAGGTTATAAGAGCATGTCTGGCCTTCCAGCTGTCTGTATCAGTTGTAATAAATTCAGCAAAATGTAATATCTTAATCACTTCATCACAGCTATAAATATAAAAGCTAGTCCATGCTCTGGACATTTCAGTTAACGTAAACAGGCAGTTCCATTGCAGACCAAGTGAAGAGTTTGTAATAATCATCACCAAGTGGAGGGAAAAGAATAATTTCTTTGATTTTTTTTAATTTTTTTTTTACATTTTCACCTGCGGTTGCTGTTTCTGAACTACTAGAAATTATCTGGGTGGCACTGCAGTATAAGCAATGCTAACTGGTATTTGCTTTTTGAAATAGGTGCCAAAACTGCTTTACCAAATGACAGCATCCTTTTTTTTTCCACTTCTGGATCACTTAGGTCTATGTAGAAGGCTGCATAGCAGAGGATTTGTGATGCTGTGCAACATGGAATTGATTTAATGTCTTAAAGCTCAACTATATCTCACACTGGGGAGTACTTGGACAGAAAGGTTTGAGCCCAGAATGCACATGAACCACCACATTATGCTGCTACTGTATTCCCCAACACAAACAGAAGTAGAACCAGAAATAGTCTTTTTGCAGTTATGTATTAAACAAGATCTCATTGTCTGCTATGCTGTTATGTTTCTATTCTCCCTCTCTATCTAAAAACACAGTTACAGAAGTGTAGCTGTTTACTGTCATTAAGAAAAAAGCATGGATATTTAAAAGGTACAAAAGAAAACTGACTCACACTGACTTTTTGATTCAAGAAGACACCAAACTGCCACCATGAATCTCATTTATCTTTAAAGAAATACATAATATATTTTCCCCAATATATTCAGTATAATTTTTGAGAATATATTGAAATATGACATTTATTTTCTGTTTCATCTATCTTTATTTCAAACCGCATTGACTGACTGAGGTGACTCATCTAATTTCTGTGAAAAGAGATATATCCTTACAAAGTTCTTGCATTAGACTACCTTCCCAAGAAGGAAGATAGCCTTAGTTATAAATCCTGTGACAGAAATTATATATGTGAGGTGACTGCAGTATCTTCTCAAAATAAAGATTAAAGTTGCTTCATATTTTAATTATTAAAATATTGTCAAGACCTCCCAAAAAAATAAATAGCTAAATACCTTGTGCAGCACCACACAGCCAGAGGAGTGTGAGATTCATCCACCCACACCTCTCTCTTCTTCCCCTCTTCCCTCAGCAAATTCAGACCCTGAAGCCAGTACAGCTTCAGTCGGAGTACTACATGCAAGAACCATCAGGTACAAGGTCTCCTACTCCATTTTCTGCTCTCTTGTTCTTACATCTAATATTTTTAAACTATTCCAAAGCATAAAGAAAGTGATTAAAACTAAAGTTTTAACTATTTAACAATCTTCAGCACATTTTATATGTAATATTTTCTGACTGAAATAATCAAGCCAACAAAAGCTCAAGTTGCATGTCTAAATATCATTAGACAGGCTTAAAAATACGATTAAAAAAGAATTAAGTGTGCATTAATTATTTGTGTTCTATTTCCTAAGGCCTTTTAATTTCACATTCTCAACCTTGACTCTGTAAGGAGCTGGCAACTACAATTAAAAAGGGGAAGAAGAGATGGAAATCATGATTCTCCTCTTGCCAACCATGTCAAACAGTTCAAAGAACACACACACACACACAAATCTGTAGAAGGCACGGCAAAAACATCCACAGGAACACCAATTATTTTATGTGAATTCTTCAGCAGAGATCTCCCCCAACATTCAGCTAGTCCTAGTGCACAGGCTGTGCAGTTAGCCTGGGTGGTAGGCAGCAGGCAGGCGACAGGACAGAACTCAGTCCTCCTCCACTGACGTGAAGCAGCAGCTCAGATCCTCCATGTTTTCCACCACTATTTTTCACAGCTCACAGCAGAAAAAGGACCAAGAAGGCTACAAAGCCTCAAGTCTCTGTGTGATGCTCTGCACAAGTACGAAGGATGGAACTGGAGAGCAGCAATCACGTTAACTGAAGTTCAGCAGTTCCACCACAGCTGGACACGTGTCACTTGGCCCTTTGCATGCACCACTTAGGCAGCTGTTTTGAGGAAGCAAAGAGCTTCAGTGGCAAGAAGGAAGAACTTGGAAACTGTGCAGCAACCTTCAGAATCATTCATCCTTCAGTATAAAACAAGGATGGTCTCAAGTTAAAAGTTTTATTTCCAACTTCCAGCCGAAGCCCAGTTCATTGCTTCCTCCTTAGGCAGAGTCCCAGTAACTTCAGAGACAGCTGTAAATGAAGGTAACTCACCACAAGACAATTAAAGATTAACCAGGATGTGACAAGACCTTAAGTCAGCCCCTTGTGGAACACTACGAAAGGAGGACACATCCTTTTCAGTTTTGCAGCGGAACACTCACATTATTGAGGCTTTCACATGTGCAATAAAACATATTTAAAAAACAAATTTCCACTAAACAAGGACTGGTCACTTGTCTCCTGTGTTTCACATGCACCACATTTATTTTGACCTTATATTGCGTCACCTTGATGCCCGGACAGTGTTACTCCCACGTACAAGGCTAGAAATTTGAGCAGCAGCAAAGGACTGGAGTAAGCACAAGGATTCCTCTGCTTCTGCCATGGATTGTTCCAATTACAGATGCCTGCTCTGCTAGATTACCGATGTCTCTTCACATTCAAACTTTCAGAACTGTAG